TTTTTTTTTTTTTAGTGACATCTTAATGTCCTTCTGCCTGCCTGCCGCTCCCGGCTGAACTTCGCTCAGGAGTTTGCAAACGACTGGGAATGTCGAGCACCCGAGGTGAACCAGACAACCTCGGGGCTGCTAAAGACGGATGTGGTTTAAAATGCAAGTATTTACCAGGCCTCATATTTACTGCTCAGCTGATGCAGGAGCCCACGGCACGGGAAGGATGGAGACCTCCTCCCGGGGCAGAAGCAAGAGGTGGGGATGGCCTTTCTCCCGAGAAGAGGGAAGGTGAATAGACTGCAAACGCGCACCACATCTGAGACCCTCCACAGTCCCTTTTTTCCCTTTATTTCCGTGGGCGGTAGCCCCGGGGATGGTCTGTGGGGGCTCCTCCGCTCTCCGTGGGAGCGGGACGGAGCCCGGCGGGCTGTGCTGAAGGGAGGCTGAAGGGACTCGGTAATCATAATGGTCTTTTCCAACCTGGATGTCTCTGATTCCACGAGGCTGCCAAGAGCCCGGCTCCGCTCCGGCTATTTTAAACCCACTGTCACTGCAGCCTCCGGACCAGAGGCAGCTTTTTTCGTTCTTTTTAATGTATTTTTTTAAAATGCACCTAATTTACAGTTTTCTTTCTGCTCTATAAGATCTAGTTTTTAAAAATTCGTTCTAGGCTCAATTCCTACGGGCTGGGCGCGAGGAAAGGCTGAGCCCGGGCACCGACGCGATTCCGCCGCGGTAATGCTGGGTCCGGGTGCCTCCCAGGGCCACAGCCCCCCCGGCTCCTCCTGGCGTGTCCCCGAGGCAGATATCCCCCGAAACAGGTCTTAAATAGAGAGTAATGAGCTGGCCCTGCCTCTCCCGGCCCCCCCAGGAGCCGGAGCAGAGCCCGGTTCCCTCCTGGCCCCCCTGCCCGAGCCGTGGTGAGGGTCAGGTATTTACCGTGCACCGGGTCTGCAGCGGGGGGATACATCAATATCCTATATATACATCTAACCTGTATCTTAAATATATCTAATCTATATCATATATCTGTCTTCTGTGTGGATTTAAGGGCATCCTCTCGCTCCTCAGCCAAATCCACCCGGTTATTCCCGTTGCTGGTCGTGACACATCTGGCGTGACAACAGAGCGCTCCCACAGGGCGGTCACCCCCGGATCGGCGCTTTCTCCTCTCTCCTCCCATCCAAGCCCACTCCGCTTAGAAAACCTTTCGGCTGGCAAACTCTTCCATCAGGTGCTACGTCACGGGGCCGTTCGCGTGACGTCATTCATTGCATCCCTAGCGTCACGCCTCACCTTTGAGCCAGCCCACGACCCAGGGCAAGCCTTGATGCCCCACTCGGAGCCGGCTCTGCTTCCCGGGACTTGGAAGCGGCCTCACGGCCCCACAGGCCGGGTAGGACGGGGTCACCGAGCTGGGATCCCCTTTTCTCTCCCCACATCGCTGGGGGCCAGAGGAGTTGCGGGAAGGGAGGAAAGGCCGCAGCAGCCCGGCCGTGGGGACCCCGCCAGCCACCCGACCCTGCCAGGACACCCTTGGGGAGCCGCGACCTGCGTGGGCGTGGGAAGGGCCGGGGAGAGGCGGAGGGAGGGTCAGGACCCGCGGGGAAGCGGGTGGCGGGAGGGCTTTGCGTGGGAACCCCTGCGCGGGACTGGCCGGGGAGCATCCCCACTCTGCGCCCGCGCAGCCACCGCACTCCCGGCTCCCCCCGGCTCAGGACTGCGCCAGGGATCTGTAAAAGGCTGGAAGCCCGCAAATAAACCGCTCCGCTTCCTCCTGCTATAAATAACCGCAGAACTAGGGATGGCTCTTAGAAATAAATCAGCGCTGGCCACGCCGGTGACAGCCCCGTGAAGAAGAGGAGACGTGTCTGACCGAGAGCAGGACTCCCGCTGTCCCGAGGGGACCGGGCCGTGTCGCCCCCCAGGTGCCTGGAGAGGGTCCCTGTTTTCGGAATGGGGCTCCCATTCCCGGCTGGCTGCGGTGGTTGCAGCCAATGCCAAAACACCTGGGCCGTATATCAGGTGGTGAAGTTCAGTCTCTGCCAGCTTTTCCTTTTCAGATTTATTAGTGTTGTATAGACTTAGATTCAGTCTATAAATTATTGGGAATTGTTACAAAAATAAAGGCATCTCCTCCCAAGCGCACCTCTGCCCGAGAGGAGAAGGAAGCCCTCTGAAAAATAGAGCTGTAGGGAGACAAGAGAGAAGGGAGAAGCTCTCCAATCCACACCCAACCAAATTCAGTCCAGCCAAACCCAACCAAACTTAGTCCAACCAAACCCAGCTAAACCAAGCTCAGTACAACTAAACCCAATCCACCTCAGCCAAACTCGAGTTCACTCAGTCAAACCAAACCAAACCAAACCAAACCAAACCAAACCAAACCAAACCAAACCAAACCAAACCAAACCAAACCACAACGAATGCAACCAAACCAAACCAAATGAAACCGCAATGAATGCAACCAAACCAAGCCAAGGCAAACCCAAACAGTGCAATCCCAGCCAAACCAAGCTCAAGCCAAGCCAGCCAACCTCTCCAGGTGTCCTCATCGTGGAACCCAGCAGATGGGAGCTGCTGCAGGAAAACGCTTTTAATAACGAAACCATCCAAAAAGTGCCCACCGACCACGCCTTGGCTGGTGCGTGGCTCTGACCCACGGGATTCCCACGCGTGTGGGAAGCAGCAGAGGCCGGGATGCGCGCAGGAGTGTGCGCAGGACAGCGCGGTGCCCCGCGGAGCAGG